TGCCGGCATCGTCAGTGAGTCTTGCCATTCATAGCACCATATTACAACTCGTCAAAAAGACAAGACTTGTTTCTGACAGACACACTCACATGCATCAAAGTTGACATATGACCTTAATTAACCAAATCATTTTATACTTGATCAAAAAGGCTAGCTGTAGAGTATATATATACCACTTTTTATCGATTTGCCGGTGAGTTTTATTGACTCGTTAGATTGAATTTCGTTGTAACGATGTTACCTCGCTCTGATGATGTCCATCATATGATGAACGAAAGCTTAGCACCTTTTCACCGGAATCGAAGGAGATTTCCTCGGAAACAACGTCAGCATGAATCTTCCAGTAAAGCCAATTGACAGTTGGTCAAGAGGAATCCGTCGTCGTCTTCTGGTGGAACCGATCTTCGAATCTCTTCACTCAAAACTTTCACTCGAAATGGAAGTAAGCTCAACAATAAAGTTAAGTGGCTGCGGATGACATGTAAAATTGCTACATATGAAGCGTGGAATGGGTAAAATTGAAACCGAACAACTGTATCCTATTCTAAAGCACTTATACTTTTGATCCTGCAATATTACCGCATGTGAGTGCATCCCATTGCACACATGCTGTGTGAGTGCATTGTTCTTGAACTGAGTGTAATGTGATTTCTATCGCCTTTCTAATCTTTCACTTACTGGTATAGTCTCCATATCCAGCTAAGCGTTTGGCTTTATACCAATCTATGTGGTGTACTGTGCGAGCCATGTGTTGACCAATTCCGATTCCACATACCCTTACAGGCTATTTTGTGTTCGGATAACCTTCCATGTGTGGGCCTACAGGTCTCTCCCACATAGGCACTAGCACATGAACACAAAATATTGCAAGAGCTCAATCTGGAGAGTGGGTCAGAATAATCTGGAAAATAGGCAATACCAAGGAAAATTTTCTTTTCTTTTTATAAATGATCTTGATGTCCCATCTCTTCAGTAATTCGCCTATCTTCCTTGACAGATTAACGATGGCAGCGTAAGGATAGTAATAGAGTGATCTCTTTTTTATCTAGCCCCAAATATGCATTTCCCTTCATTCTATTTAACGATATTCTAATATAGTTATCAATTATCCCTCCTGGATAATTATTCCCAATCAGAATCCGCCAGTCTCCTTATTATCATAGACTTCATACCCATACTTTAATTTCATATGTTTAGATAAGTTTAAAAGGATACCCGCATTTGTGGGTTTCCTATACAGATATCTACCTAATTTGGTCCCTTCTTCGTTAACTAGGAAATCAGGAATGATAAATCGGATTCCTTTTCTAACTCAATGGTGAATTTAGTCTTTCCATCGATTCTATTTATAAAACCAAGAAAATCCTCCAGACTTTCATTCCCATGTTGCCAAATGTCAAAGTAATCGTCCATATAGCGAACTAAAAGTGCTCTCCCACTCGCCACTTCAAACGAAAAGATTACTAACATTACTAACATATTCACTATAAATACAGGCAATGTAATTGATTTCAATGACGGACACGATTACACATTGGTAACCCTCATGGATCTAATATACAAGGCCTAGCCTGTACTCTCCCGCCGATAT